GTCCCAGCATTTTGGAGAGGAATGGGAGCTAGCCACCCCCATTAACGTAGTCTCGCTTGTATCTGGAATGTTTAGTGTCAGTGTGGTGATCTCAGCCGGTTTTCAAATAGGTTTGAAAGATTCCGCAGCTATTAGTTTTGGGTTCATAAATAGTTTCTTTAAAAATAAAGGCCGAGTACAGGGGCATGAGACAGTATATCTGTTTATGGGGTAGTCCAATAGGTTTCAAATGCATCTTCAGAGCAGAATAAAATTGAGGTTCTTGAAAGGGTGACTACAGTCAATATGATCAACAGAATTGGGCTGTAAGCTCAGTGTCTGGGGAGAAGCTATGGTACTAGGGCTGCTGTCGACTGCCGTGTGAAAAATGTGCTGCCCGGCCATAAAACCGTGCTGGGCTGTGACAGCTATAATTTTTTTCTTCTGATCTTTTACACTGTCTCTTTCATAGCAGGTCATAAACTTTACAGAGAATAACCTTTTATATGGTGCACTGAGAGAGAAAAATGCCTTTGAGGTAATTTTCATAAAACATATTTAAATTTATGTTCTAAGTGTATTTGATAGGGAGTGAATTATAGTTTCATTTGATAGTGGTGTCGATTTGGACTTTGTTTTCTACACTCACTATTGTTATACCTTATTAACATACAAATGACAGCTAAAATATCTTTCCTCTTTAGATATAATGAAAATTTCTGACTGTACTCAATATGTTAAAAGCATCCTAAATGTAATTACTAAGTACCATAAAATATCTCTACTCTTACAATGAATACCAAGCTTTATTAAAATCAATAATTCTCAATCTTTTACTTACCCAGTACATCTGGCAGATATGACCTGCCCAGTATACTGACTGGGGAAAATACAGCCAACCTTTTATCACTAATGTACAGGTTGAAAAGGCCTGCCATGTGATTTCATATGCCACTCCGACTCCCTGTCTCTACCATCACACATGTTCGTCTTGAAAATCATTGATTTAAATGATGTCAAAATAGTTATGGGGGAGAGTGGGAACAGCCGAACTCATTTCGAGTTGAAATTTGGTACTCCTTAAACTCTCTTGTTGAGATGGCACAGACTTGATTGATGGGAAATATCAGGAGCCGAATGCCTTATGGCTTGATTGCATGAAGATAATGAGTTTTACAACTGTTCCCTGCCAATAACATTAGCTTAAATGAGCCAGGAGTTAGTCATTTCAGGCCATTGTAAGGAGATGAGTGATCTGATGAGAAAGTGGAATTTGGTTTATGGTCAAGGAATGGGTTTGGATTCTGCTAATGTAAGAAACATTCAAATTTGTGGGGGGGGGGGGGGAAATTGTGAGTTTATTTGAGCTAAACTGTTGACAAATGCCAAGAAGCAGAATCTCAACGGATTGAGATAGTGCTCTGGAAAATGGCAGTTTTGCACCTTGTTTTATACATTACAGTCAAAAGAGGAGATGTAAGTGGGCTATATGAAATCCCTTGGCAATAGATTAGGGAGAAAGCAAAGTAGGGAAAACCACTGGGATTGGATAAAAAGTAAAACGATAGACACATACTTCTTTTACTTAGGTGAGTGCAGGATAGTTAATAGTCAACAATTAGCTCAGTAACAGTGAGGAGATTTGTGGGCTCCACAGAGGAATGCCTGTGCTTTGAAGGGTCTGAAATAAAGAAAATTACTTTGACATTGCAACAATATGTTATCATAGATGCAAAAAAGACAATAGACAGGCTTCATTAAGACCTTCGTCAGGGAAGATACCAGCCTAGGACATAAACAGTTTTTCAGTTTTAAAAATTTTTTAATTTTAGGCCATCCTTTGTGATTACTTTACGCCTCTGAGTTTGCAAGGCTGCCACACAGGCCTTCCCTGAGCTGGTCAAGTTAGCATGTATCCCCCTTTTTGGTCACATGTTTATGATTTCTATTTTAGGGAGTCTGATTTCAGTCCATATTTCACCTGCTTGAGTAATGTAAAATAAGTTTTTCTGATTAAAAATTACTTGCTTTTTTAAATACATTTTTTATTTATTTCAGAGAGGAAGGGAGAGGGGAAGAGAGATAGAAATATCAGTGATGACAATCATTGATTGGCTGCCTCCTGCATACCCCCTATTGGGGATTAAGCCTGCAACCTGGGCATGTGCCCTTGACTGGATTCGAACCTGGGACTTCTCATTCCATAGGCCAACACTCTATCCATTGAGCCAAACTGGGTATGGCACAAATTACTTGCTTTAATAGCTTATTTAGTAAACGAGAGGCCCGGTGCATGAAATTTGTGCACGGGGCCTGCCACCCTGATCACCCCCTAACCACTCCCCTGCCAGCCTGATTGATTCTTAACCGCTCCCCTGCCAGCCTATTTGCCCCTAACTGCCCTCCCCTGAAGGCCTGGTCCCCCAACTGCTTACCCCTACAGGCCTGATCCCTCCCAACTTGCCCTCCCCTGCCGTCCATCTTGTGGTGGCCATCTTGTGTTCACATGGGGCAGAATCTTTGACCACATGGGGGCAGCTGTCTTGATCTTGGAGTGATGGTCAATCTGCATATTACTCTTTTATTAGATAGGATAGAGGCCTGGTGCATGGGTGGGGGCCAGCTGGTTTGCCCTGAAGGGTGTCCCAGATCAGGGTGGGGGTTCCCTTGGGGCATGAGCGGCCTGGGTGAGGAGCCCGTAGTGGTTTGCAGGCCAGCCACGCCCCCCAGTGACCCAAGGGGATCTGGGATTTATCTTCTACAATTGAAACTTTGTAGCCTGAAGCAGATGGATGCAGCCATTTCTGTTGGAATTTATTTACCTTCCATAATTGAAACTTTGTAACCTTAAGCGGAGGCCTGGGCCAGCGAGGGCAGGCAGAAAGCTTAGCTTCCTCTGTTGCCAGGAAAACCCAAGCCTCCCTCCTGCTCTCCGTGGCCTCCGCCATCTTGGCTGGATTTATTTGCATATTCACTCCTGATTGGCTGGTGAGCACGGCTTTGTGGGTATAGTGAAGGTCTGGTCAATTTGCATATTACTCTTTTATTAGATAGGATAGTAATCAAAGGCCCACAAGACCTGTATTGGACCTCAGAGATGCAGTGGGGGATGAAAGAAAGACCAACACCCCTGTCCCCGTGGCATTCTCGGGCAGAGGTAACAAATCCAATATCCTATCATGTGTGTTTTTTACAGTGAAAAGTTTCAGAAGTTCTACTAAATGTTAATATTTCTTTAGTATAATAATTAAGGATCTGATTTTATTATTTACTTTTTAGGTCAGTAACCTACCCTAGACCAGACCCCAATTTTAACAGAACTAGCTCTAATTTCTGTTAGTTAACCTTTCCTTTCAACTGCAAGTTTACTTTATAAGAAAAACCTAGGGAAACATTCCAAATGAGAATGTCTTAACCAGTGTCCTTCCAAAGGCAATCTTACCAAACTGTAAAACTTTCCAGTTGGAAGCTCTTGCTTAAAAGCTGTAACATCACCAAAAAATAAAAATAAAATCTGCTCAGAGTAAGAGTTCCTTTTTCCTGGCTGTGGGGGGCCTTGCCTGTGGGCAACCACCTAACAGCATGTGAAGCTGTGCCTGGTTTGGCCGAGGCCAGGGATTGACATTTGATAACTCCACCTAGTGAAGTGGAGTTATCAAAAAAGGTGAGAGGGAGACCTGTCAGCCTCCTTTCCCTTTTCCCCTTCATCTCCTTGTCCCTGAAAGTAATCATCCTGTTTTACTCAACTGGGCCAAGACAAGTTCTCTGAGGCTAAACCTGAGAGCCATTCTTGGAAGAGGCTCCGTCACCAGCACCCAGAGGACCTATTTGCTGGGGGTAAAAGCCAGGATAGGGCAGAAACCATGTCCTTCCTCCATCAAGCCAACCTCTTTTTTTCTCTTTTAATATATTTTATTGATTTTTTTACAGAGAGGAAGGGAGAGGGATAGAGTTAGAAACATCAATCAGCTGCCTCCTGCACATCCCCACCAGGTATGTGCCCACAACCAAGGTACATGCCCTTGACCGGAATCAAACCTGGGACTCTTGAGTCTGCAGGCCGACACTCTATCCACTGAGCCAAACCAGTTAGGGCAAACCAGCCTCTTATAGGCCTGCCCAAACATCTCCTGTTGAAGATGTGAAACATGAATCTGTTATAAAGGTAGATAGTTAAATGCAAGTCTGGTAGGCTCTGTAAATAAATAACGTGCCAATCTACACACAAATCAGTGCCGGGGAAGGGAGGGGGAGTCTCTGTTCTATTGTATGTTTGTCAGATCTATATCCTAAATTTCTTCCCATACTTCTAAATTTATCATTAAACCATGTTCTGTGTAGGCAGTATAATTTCTGTGTTTAAAAGACAAACTGAGAATTGACTGTTGCTGATAGACAAGAAATGGGACTGAGTAATTTTAAGAGTATTCATTATTCTTTTTCTGAAAGTCAGGGAGACACTAGCTTTGACACTGAGATTAATAGAGAGATGTGGGTTTTTGTTTTCTTCTTTGTTTAGATTCCTTGACTAAAACTTTCACTTCACAGACTTTGAGTTTGGGTAACATTTTTCCTTCTCTGTGTCTGGTAGTTTTGTCAGAGTACCTGTAACTTATGTCAGAGCGTAGACTGGCATGCCCTGAGTGTCAGGATACCTAAGCCAGGAACATGTTGTGGAGTTTGTGGATATTATTCAGAGGGTCCAAGAATTAGGGAACATTATCTTTATTTTTCTAAAGCTAGATTTTGAAATTCAGATTCTACTGGTAACAAAGACACAGTTAGTCAATGCTAATACCAGTCAGACATTTTTTATAACATGCTTCAGTTGTTGGAGACATCTCAAAATATTACTTGTGTTCATCACTATTTCTATTTCAGATTTGTTTCTTAACATTTTGATATCTGTTTCAAAGTCATTGGCATCCTTTGTAATTCTGTATAGACAAACATTACTTAGAAGAATCTTATGCTTTTCCTCGTGTGTGTTCTCTCTGCCTGTGACACCTTTGTCTCTTCAGCATCAGCCACTATGTGATTGTCATGTGCCTGAGCATCGTTCTGGTGTTTCTCAACGGCCTGGCCCAGCTGCTCACCACAAAGAAACTCAGAGTGTATGGCCAACCTAAAAGCCATCTCATATGACATCACCGAAGCATCCTTCTGCATCTGGGTCCTGTTTCTCATTCTCTTTTGAAACTAAAAGCTTATCAAGGATTCAGAAGAGAGATGGTTTTTGATGTGTGGTACATTCTGCTCTTATAAAAAAAAATTACACGTGGAATTCTGAACCTACAGGTTGTCTGGAATAAAGGAGCTTCCATTTTCTTTAGTTTTTGCATGTGTTAAATTTAAATAGTGATTGTCTGTGGGAAGCCCGGCAAAGCATTCTCCAGGTTTCTGTTTTCCCTTGAGCTGGCAGCTCTTTTTTCTGACAATTCAGAGCACCTGTAACCATTTGGTCCCCAACCTTACGGCTCCCCATATCAGCAGAGGAGAAGCACTCATGGGCGGGCCTCCCCATCGGTTCCCAAATCAGTGCAAGGGCTGAACCTGATCGAAATCTCCAGGTGGCACCATCAATATTTATCAAGTCTCTTGCAAATCATTCAAACTACTAAACTGTAACACCAGGAAAACTATCAGGGTGTGTTATTTAAATTTACTAAAAATTCCCTAGAAAACAATGTTTGCAGGTGTTTGTAATTTTTTTCAGAATACAGCAATCCTATCTTAAGCATCTTACTGCTGTTTCTAGGGTTTTCAAAATCAGCTATCTAGATGCAGGTTTGACCTTCACTTTTTTCTTTTTCTTTTTATTTTTATTTTTTTTATTTTTTTTTAAATTTCTGGATTCTCATGGAATTCCTGGAGATAGAAAAGTAGAAAATGTTTGGTGTTTGTGTCTTATCCATTGGGGGGAACACAGAAGGAGTTGTTTTTCATTATAGATTCAGTATTTGTTAACACCATAACTTTTACCCCATGCATTGTTTCGACAGAATTCTTTAAATTCACGGTTAAACTTTCTGACAATATTATACGAATCAGAGTTAAAATTGCTTCTCTTTCTGTTTGTGAGATTCTAGCCCAAAGGCCTAAATTCCTCTAATTAAATTTAAATTTGTATTTGTAAACTAATTCTTATGGACCGAATATTTTGAGAGTAATTTTTATTTGGCTTTTTCATCAAGGGACCTTTGCATGTCACTGTAGAGCTGGCCTTTTGTCCATGGTATTATATGTCAGTAGATTTTGGCTAGTACTAAGTTTCACTGGTCTGAGTTCCATTTTTATTTTTTTATTATTTTTTTTAACATGACAGTGTTTCTTTTTTTATATATATAAATTTTATTGATTTTTTTACAGAGAGGAAGAGAGAGGGATAAAGAGTTAGAAACAACGATGAGAGAGAATCATCGATCAGCTGCCTCCTGCACACCCCTTACCAGGGATGTGCTCGCAACCAATATACATGCCCTTGACCGGAATCGAACCCAGGACCTTTCAATCCCCAGGCCGATGCTCTATCCATTGAGCCAAACCGGTCTCGGCCTGAGTCCCATTTTTAAAAAATAATTGCTTTTGAATTAACTTATAGCATTTCTAACTCACATTAATGCGGAGGAAGCCTTCTGCAAATAAAGTTTTCAGATTGTCAGGTTAGTGTACGAATACAATTTAGAAGATTCAAAAACCAGCTTGGCAATATGCACTTTCTTAATGTCTGTTTATGATGATGTATAATTATTTATGATAGTACTTCATGGTATAGCAGCAAAAGCATTACAGTATAAAAGAAAAGAAAGGTGTATTTTTGTCATTGTCAGACCTCATGCCTCAGTTTGCACTGTAAAATCTAGGTGGACCACTGAGGCTTGTCAGTGGCAATGACATTGGCAGAGAATCACAAACTTCCTCATTGTCTCAAAAGATTTTTAATCAGTTTTTCCACAACTCAGAGAAAACGGACTTTATAAACACTTTACTCTTTTTATATCATTTTTGCCTTTTCCTTTTCCCAGATTTTCAGAGGAATTAATGAATATCTTGTTAAAACATTATAAAAGGTGCTTGGTGCTTTATTTTGCTTTTCACAGTATACCTTTGTCTTCATATTGTTTTGACTCAGAGTGAGCTTACAAAGCAGGAGTCCATGCCTACAGCCGGGGCTTGCCTTGCTGCACTGTCTGGACCCCTCAGAATCCCCTGAATTTATTAGATGGGCCTTTTCTGTTGCTCAGTTTATCAATATCTTAAACTGTTTTTTGAAATGCTTATTTTTGTATTAAATAAAAGAAAAATAAAGGATAAGAAAAATGTATTTCTGTTTAATGCATTTACATTTTCATTTTGACTATGAGTACCAGATTTCCAAATCAGGACTTACACATTCACTGAATAACACTCTTTAAATTAAGAATTGCTGTAAGAATTAAGTGGGGGTATCCAGTTAGGAAAATATTGAACCACAAAAAAAGCCATGCTGTGTCCCATGCACCGAGACTAAATCTTGGAGGACACCCTAAGGACTTAGGAAGGTAACTGCAACCTGTCTATAACCTACCAAATAGATGACATAATAAAAAGGGTTCTCTGATCAAATATATTTGAGAAATACCGAGTCAAAGTTAAACGGGTGTATTTATGGTAGTACGTAGGGATTTAAGTTCGTATATGCATTGAGATAGCAGGATGCCAAAAATGCCCACTTGCTTGACCACAGACCCTACGTACCTCAGAGTCTCCCTTCCAACTGGTAATCACTTCAGAAATGTCCCCATATAATAATTTTGCACTTAAATTTGCAGTTTATCATACTGTTTTGAAAATAGGCTGTTGTATGCTTAATTGAATCTTGTTTTTCTGAGAGCTGGAAAACTGTTTTCATTTTGACCCTTACTATGGGAAAACTTTAAAATGTACTAGCAAATTTCCCTGCCTCTCTCTAAATTATGTCTATTCTCATCTGGTCATTCCTGCTGGGAACTTCAGTACATCCTCAGCAGCCCTGTTAAAATTTGTGCCAGGCATTGGTCTAACTGCTTTATAAGTACTAACCTATTTATTTATTTATTTATTTATCCACTGTTTTTTATTTATTTATTTATTTATTTAAAAAAATTTTTTAATATATTTTATTGAATTTGTACAGAGAGGAAGGGAGAGAGATAGAGAGTTAGAAACATTGATGAGAGAGAGTCATCGATCAGCTGCCTCTTGCACACCCCCTACTGGGGATATGCCCGCATCCAAGGTACATGCCCTTGACCGGAATCGAACCCGGGACCCTTCAGTCCCCAAGCCGACGCTCTATCCATTGAGCCAAACCGGTCTCGGCTATTTATTTATTTTATTATTATTTTTTTTTTGCCCCCCTTCCTCCCTCCTATACATACCCTCCCTCCCCAGATTTTATGTCCATTGGTTGAAGTACTAACCTATTTAATCCCTGTAACCTGTGAAGGAGATTATACCATTTTACAGATGGGAAAACTAAAATCAGGATGAATATAAATAACTTGCCTAAGATCCCCACCACGAGTAGGAGGCTTAAAAAAAAAAAATTGATTATCCCTAACATTCTATTCTGGAATCAACACAAGAGCATTTGTGGATTTTTGCTTCTGAAAATGTAGTCACTGTGCCTAAGCAGCTGATGTGAAAACTAGACTTTTTCAGTTGTGTGCAGGTAACCAAGTGTAAATGGTATAAGTAGGAAAATATACTTTTGAAGTTACCTATGTGTATACAAATGGTATGGGGCTGGCACCAGATCCTTAATGTTCATTTGAGGCATGATGTCAGCTGCTTCCAAATGGCACATAAAGCGAAAGGAGAAGGGTTTCCTTCCTTTTGAAAGGAAGTGGATATTGGCTGTCTGTTTTTAAGCACTTGTACATTTTTTGAAGGTCTAGATGCCCAGAGCACACTTAGTATAGTGGCTTGAATGGTACACCCCCAGAAAGATATGTCCACATTCTAACCCCAGAACCTGTGAATGTGACCTTATTTGGAAAAAAAGTCATTGCACATATAATTAAGGGCCTTGAGATGAGATTGTCCTGGATTATCCAGATGGGTCATCAATCCAGTGACAAGTGTCCTAATGAGAGAGGGAAGAGGATAATATACAGGTGCAGAAACGGCCATGTGATAATAAAGGCAGAGATGGGAGTGATGCTGCCACAAGCCAAGGAACATGGAGCCACCCGAAGCTGGAAGAGGAGGAAGCATCCTCCCTGAGAGCCTTCGGAGGGAACACAGCTCAGCCAATTCCTTGACTTAGGACTTCTGGCCTGGGACTGTGAGAGGATACATTTCCATTGTTTTAAGCCACCCAATTTGTGATAACTTCTTGAGCAGGTCTTTTTTTTTTTTTTTTTTTTTTTCATTGATTTTTTGAGAGAGAGAGAGAAACATCAAGCATTGATTTGTTATTCCACTCATCTATGCTTTTATCAGTTGTTTCTTATATGTGCCCTGACCGGAATCAAACCCAAAACTTTGGTGTATCAGGATACGCTCTAACCAACTGAGCTACCTGACCAGGACCAGTAATGTCTTAGGAAGCACACATTTGGGGATGTTCAGAATCATCAGCTATGTTCTGATGGGATGACTAGCTCATCGTTACTAGGTCACGAATTTGAGTACCCTAGTTCAATTCACTCTGTTCTATGAATATAAAAATATTTGCACATAAAACTAAAGGTAGTTAATTACTCTTTCATGTCTGCATTGCTGATGATTTGGCTTTTTCTGGAACATTCTTGCCATATTTTCCTGGAAGTAGTAAAAAGGTCCTTACTGTTTTCCCTTCAGTATTTTTGGTATCTACGTGTCAGGACTTGAAATGAGAAATCTGAAAGCTTGTGTTAAGTCTGATTATCTTTTAATGTTGCCCCGAGGGGCTTGATTGAGAAGAACCACCCTCCCCTCCGCTGCAACATCCCTGGCCTCGTTCGGAGGAACTTTCCCACAGCAGCCCTGCACACGAGTCCTCCCAGCGTTGATCCAGACTTGGCATAGATCAGACAGACGTGCCACCGCAGGCCCGTGACAGGGTCTGGCACTCTCACAGGAACATTCTCTGGGCCTGGAGTGAAGCCTTCCTTTGTTAAGCTGTGAGTCTTGTATAATGT